TCTTCTATACATATTTCCTTTGTCCTCTGAGTATTTACTTTTTGCTCATGCAACTAATGCATCCCTACAGTCTGAAATGTATTACTGTGAGCAGTACAGGCCTGCACACCAGGAGCCACACAGCAAGAAAAGAGAACTAACAGGAAAGGAAGTAACAAAGGATAAATGGCAAGCGAGCAGGGAGACACGGGGCCCAACAACACAGCCTTGCCTTTCATTTTTTTCCAATATTTTTTTTCTACTAAATACCTTTCTATTCTAAGCTTTTCACCACTTTATTTCAATCATGACCTCAATTCTCACTTCAACTTTACAGTCCTGTTTTCAAAAAAAAAAATCCAAACCATTGTGCGGAGGGGAGCGAGGCGGGAGAAACATTCCCTGTTTTAGTGGATTACCAGACCTAGGTGCTACATTTCTAGGTGTTGCTGTCAGCAGTGCCATTGTACCATACTGTCTGCTCTTTCTCTGCGTGTCAGCAGCCTGTCAGCGCGAGCGCAGGTGTAGGGCTTTGCTCCTCTCCAAATGCTCCTCTCAATGTGCACAGGAGGCAATGGGAGTCTGCACAGTGTTGTGGCAGGGGCACTTGTTTCTTTTCTTCTTTTTTTTTTTCCTTCCTTCTTTTCCAGGGAACTTAAAAGTAAACATTCCTGTCCAAAAATTAATGTCATTTGTTGCTACAGCAAAGAAAGCTACAAAACATTGCTAAATGGATTATTAGAAGTTTTCAAAACAGAAGAGGTGCCTGAGAGACAGCACTCAGGAAGCACTTAAAAGCCTAAAAATCACTGGAATGTAATGTGAGCAAATTATAAGATAAACCAAATAAAAAACATCCCGACTGAGAAGGTGTTCTATACTCAGCTACACACACCTCAAACGCCAAAGCTGATAGTTATGTCAGAAGGCAGAAAGTTCGACTTTTTATAAAACAAGTATATACTATCAGAGTGCACTAAGATTTTATGAGAGAGTAGATTATCAGATTCATTAAATTCAATGATAAAGTTAAAGCCAGGCAATATTTCTGCACTCATTATGAATCACATTAGGAAAAAAAAAAAAGTGAATAGCTTCATCCAAAAGCAAGCTACCATTAAAAGGAGTGTTGTGCCCTAGTGGCCTAGGTTATTGCTTCCTAAAGCAGGAATTCCTAATTGCAGGGTTATGCTACCTAAAAAGAATCTGCCACATTTAAGAGATTTTCAACATCTTCTTAAATAATTGCTTTATGAGTAAATGAAAACCAAGCACGTTTCAGAGCAATTAATCGTTCTTGACAAATATCAGGTCCTCTGAATGTGGTACAGTTCTGTTTTGATTTGGCTACATCCAAAGCTTATTAGATGAGCCTAGTAGCTACTGTACCCAACTTGGGAACTGATTTTTTTTTTTTTCCTAAGAGAGAGGAAGAAGAATTGAAAATGGTCTGAATGTTTCAAAGAATCAGTGTTACAATTTGGATTTTGTTTTATCCTAAAAAACACACAAAGTCTTAATCTGGAAATTTTCCATGGAAGTCAGAATTAAATATTGTGCACAGTATTATAAGGAAGTAATAAAGTTATGCTATTCCTTCCCAGCTATCCAGCTGAATAAAGGTAGCAAAGCCTACAGTCATGAGCTTCTGCTTCACCAAATGCTGTTTCTGGTAGATCTATGATGCTGATTAGCTCTTGCTTCTTCACCAAGTGCATGAGGAGTGCCAAGCTCATTTCTGATGATATGCTGCCAAGATGACCCGGCTACTGCGACCTGTCTTCTGTCCTAGCATGGTAAGAAGGACATCAGCTGTGGTACAACTTTTGCAGTAGATATTGTGATCAAAATGTATCTCCTCCTAGAAGTGCACTCCTAAGATAGTGCCTGAAAACACTCCTAAAAGTGTGCCTGAAAACAACAGTACTCCTAATATTTTCCCCTGCTTACAGAAAACGCCTCATTGAAAGATCAGAGGTTTTTAAAACTAAGTATCTGAAAATACATAAAAGAGGAATATATATTTGTTGCTTGGCGAAAAGGACTCTGTGTTTTCCAGTTTTCAAAAAGGGTGAACTTTATCTGTGAAGTTGTTTAGCTGATATTTGCAGCTAAACTTTACGGCATTTTAGCCTTATGTCTTGGGATAAAGGGCAAATCATCTAGTATGATATAAAGTGAAAGATAAATCCCAAAACACAGACTCCTTAAATATAGATTTTTTTTTTTTTTTGCTCCTTCCCTCAAGTCTTTCAATTCCTTCATAGTGGTTTCTACTTTACCTTGTCAAGTATTTGACAGTTTCTCAAGTATTTAGGAAGGAGGATCTAATTGGAAAGTGCCAGGTTCTTTTTATTGCACTTTATCAATATTGTTAAGGGAATGATGTAATTGTTTGGGGTTTGGTGAAGACATTCCATGTCACTTCAGTGTTAATACCAGGCTGGAGCCTTCCTTGTCTGCCTGCGTAAGCTAGATAAACACAGACCTGTGTGCTTTCTTCTCATCTCGGGATACTTACTCAGAGAGATCTTGGAACATATGCCCATTGCAAGCTAAACATTTCACTTTTCATTTTATCCATGCGCCAGAAATCCATTCCTTGGATAAACACTTTACATACTGACACTCTTAAAGTCACTAAACACGATAAATAACGAGAGAATACATCATCTCATAACCGATTAAACATTTTCGCACTTGTGACAAATGAACAGCTATACACTGTATGGAGTCTCTGGAGCAGACATTCCATTTTCTTTGTCTTTATTTTGTGTGGAAGATTAACTTTCCATTTCAGCTCATCTATTGCATAACTGAGCTTTTCTAAAATACACATTGCTGCATTTTCCCCAAATCATTATTCATTTTAGAAACATTTTTGTTGTTATTTCTGCAAGAGCTTTTCTCTTGGACTTCTGCATTTTTATGGAGATAACAGCTTTAATACTCCATGCTCAAGCTAAAAGAAAAGATTTGCAGCTCTTATGGAAAGCTGAAGAAATGCATCCATGGGGTAGCAGTGAACTTGCACATGGGCTGAAGTTATCTACTTCAAAAGGAAAAATCCAAGCACATTAATCACATTAATTTTGCTCCATCTAATCCATCACTTTTCCTTGCACTGCTTGCTTGTCTAGTCATCCTATGCATTGCTATTCTACCTATGATTAGCCAAATGTAACTAATCTTTTATTTAGCTTTTTAAGCTATCTTCCCTTTCACACCCCCCTTCCTCCCCCCCGCTCCAAATAAGAGATCACAACCTTTGGAAATCTTAGTGTAATAAACAGTTTTAACCTAATTTAACACAGACACTAAAGATACATCATGAAGCTTCAAAATTTTAATGAATACCACTGACTGGATTAATAATAATTCAAAAGAGAGAGCAAGAGAGAAAGAAATCTGGCCTGGCTAATAATAAAAATATCTTTGTTCCTAAATAGTATTCTTTAGGTCCCAGCATAATTCCTCACATTTTCCATGAAAGCTTTCATACCTACAGCTATCCTTTTGAGACATTCCCTGTGGATCTTAGCTATGCCACTAGGAAGTTTTTGATATTGTGGTTTCAGTGCTTTCAGGGAGAAAATCAGGATAGAGAATAAACTAGACGCAGAAGACAAGAGCAAGCCACAAGCTTTCTGAACACGTTGTGGATTCATTCCCCTTGCTCTTAGGAATCTCTCAGCTTTGGACATAAAAGCAAATCAATTTTCCATTAACAAAAACAAATTCCTTCACAGAGCAGTTTGACAGAGATCAACAAAAACATCTTATTAACAGCTTCCTCTCTCTAAATTTTACTGCGAAGGAGATCTTGAAGGATAAGAA